TGTCGGGATATACAATTTTACTGTCAATTTGGACACTTCAAAATAATTGAAACCCTTGTTTTGATCTTTTGCTATTTTACGGATTTACGTATTATGCAGTGCCACTTTCATGATATCAAATGCCAACATATTGATTCTGATTCTTACGATAGCAATCCCAATATTTCAGGTATGAGTAATCATTTGAGATTCATCATGTCGCATGGGAAAAAAGTTTGTTCATGCGGATGACGAATGGAAGTGGTTCTGATGCCGACAAGTATTATCGTAGCCAAACTTTTGTTATGATTGAAGGACAAACTTGGTATTCTTGATCCCCGCACTCAAATTGAATTGAAGTTGAAAGTTCCTAATTTGAATATACCTCCGAACGAAATACGCGACTATAAAGACTTAAATTAGTGGTAAAAGTGGTTGTCAAATGCAATCCCGAAAGTGTTCTCCCTATACAGTGTAGATTCCGAACTTATGTTATTAATTTATTGTTACTATCATAGGCCAACAAAAAATCGATCGTTATGTTTCTCAAGCAAAGTATCGATCCATTAGCACAAACGGGATGAATACGTTATTTTCATTATAAACTTAGCAAATCATTATAGTTCCATTAGTTTCAACTGATAGTTTGTCGAAATGAAAAATTTATTTTCATGAGACGACAATTCACAAGTAAAACACCAACATTACATCCCGACAGTTCATATGTTGTTCCTGACAGATGGTCGCTGTAATGCTTGACAATTGGGAACAATAACGGCTTCCAAAAATACACTACTACGGTTACCCATTATGGACATGTTGTTGCTGCACATATGCAGAGGACGTGATCGAAATCATCCCTAACACAAAAATGCTATACATAATTTCTTACAAAATGATCATTTATTGCAAACTTGCATTCTATCTCCATTTTAAGTTTCTCCCCTACTTTCTCCACCAAAATCATCTGAGCTTATAACAATTATGTTTGGGAGCTAGCCACTCATCCGAGTCGGACAGTGATTGGATCGACCCTTAATCTCGAAGACTTGATCGAGCACAGTGTTCGATGACTTAGATTCTGCACTTGATACTTCATTGAACTAGGTACCATGGTGCTCAACGCTTAACTTATCATCGTCCGAGGATAAAACAATGGGAAATTCAGCGGCCAAACCCAGTATCAACGGATGCCTATTAGGGTTGAATGGTTCGTTGTTAGAGATGGATGAACCAATTATCTCGTATCAACTAACTATTTCAATGTTGAAGTCTCACAAGAGCTTCTTTAGTCTTTCAAGGGATGGATTATGAACATGAACTCATACGCTGCTATTTATAATAAACTTGTTGGAGGATGATCAATTATGGTCAATTAGTTCCTAACTACCAACTTATTTTCATCACATCTCAAATTTAATTTGATAGACAATTGGTGTGATACCTTGAACCAAAAAGTGTACTTGTATTGGTCAGACATTCACTATCATTTCCTCATTGGTGTTTTAAATGAGAAACTTAAAAAATGCACCAATTTCCATTTTTCCGAAAGCGAGAAACTTATAATATCTATAATTTCCATTTATAATCTACGATTCGGGCATTGGTCAAACTTAAAATTTTTATTTTTCGAAAAACGAGAAACTTATAAAATGAACCAATTTTCTCATTTTTCGAAAGCGAGAAACTTATAAAATGCACCAATTTTCCATTTTTCAATTGAATACCAATTTCAATCTCTAGGTTGAAAAAGTTAAAAAAAGGAAGAAACTTACAAAGTGCACCAAAAACAGTTTCCTTACCAACATTTTTTGTACTAAATCTACACAGTTTCTTTGACAGTGAATGTCACTTGAACATAACCAACATTTCTCAAAAAATAAATATATAATAATGTAAAACAAAATATTTCTTCGTGCATTCTCCGCAGTCACCCGAAGTGAAACATTGTCAACGTCGTTCTTTCTTTGAAAAGGACATCGATTGGTTCTACCTCCTATTATGGTTGATGACAATGGTACATCAGTGTGTACTTTTATGCAAAAGTGGTTTATGTCGTATTAGTTACCAAAATTTAATAATAGAAGAAAATAACAAATTCTACCAGGATTTGAAGTATAACATCGAAACGATACATTTGTCTTCAATTACCCATATTTAACGTAAAACATAAAAAGTTGATATTGTATAATTACCCCATTACGAAATTTACCATTTGCCATAAGCATAGGGGACTTCATGACTGTCGATCATGTATCTTTTGGATCTATACCTTCATTCATGAAATAATCAAGTTTCAAATGCCAAGATTAAGAAATCAAAAAAATTGAGCAATTGTTTTTTAAAACTGAAAGTAGTAACATATACTAATTGCCTCATTTACCCATCTAGTCAACGAACCATCGGTAGTTTGGACTACCAACTTTCAAGTCGGTATCTTATACAAAACAATCGTGCTTGAAATCATAAATATAAAAACTCCAAACAGTGGGACAAGTGTGTTTTTGAATTAAATTGATAATACATACCAATCCCCTCATTTACCTAGCTAGCCGATTGACCCTCCGGTAATCTAGGCAAACACCTTTTTGGTCAGTCACTTCTTTATCTAGAATGACAGTTTATCTCTACACATGGATTCATAACTATTATTTTTATATTTCATGAAGTAATAATGGTGCTCAGATGATATGCTATACATTGCAACCCCTAAAATTACACTTAGAAGATAAGCTTAACAAAATTTGGCTTCTACAACCAACTGTCGAGATAAGTGAGTCAATTGCTGAGAATTTCAGAGCCTAACTGTCGAGAACAACAGTTCATCTCGACAATGATTTCGTTAATATCAGAATTGACATTTACATTTCACATTTATATTGGTTTTCCAAGACATGAAGGGTCAAGTTATGATAAACATGATATGTGTTATGCTTATAGCTTCAAATAACACCACTTTCATATATTCAGCCATAAGTTTTATATGTATTTCAAAGACATTTTCAAGAATGAAAAATAGAAAGATATAACACTAAAAAACCATTTATATAACCCTGAATAATCAAATAAAGACACACTTAACCGAACTTATTTGTGCATGTTGACAAAAGTATACCCAGTTCAATCTTGGCTCATTTTACAAGCTCAAAAATTAAACACAAACTCAATTTGTCCAATAATGATCAGTAATTATTATTTACATGAAAAAAAAGTGAAGAACATAATTATAAGAAATAAATTCATAGATAACTTACATAAACCATAATGTTTACATTTTTATAGAACTAGAAAAATAAACAACAAAAATTGAAAAAAATGAGACATATTATACCAATCTAAGTCAAAAATTGTGAAGAATAAAAAAATAAACACTCCTAATTTTTAAAAATTAGAAGAGAATAGAGCAACAAATGCAAAAGTAAAGAAAAAAGAAAACCTCAAGAGATTAATGGTGATCTTCGTCGGCGATGGATTGATTAACGATCATTTGACTTCAAGTTTGAACAAAATGGAGAATTTTAGCATCGCCTGCGGCCTTGAGCAAGAGGAAATGAGAGAGGAAACTAAGCCGTTTAGATTTAGGGAATGACAGAGAGAAGTCAA